CCCTCAGCAGGAAACATAGGCTCTTTGCCCTTCGCCTCCATCTTCTGCCAGTCCTCTCACACATCCTAGTCACCAGTCATATGAGACATCTAGCTGCTGACAGAATACCGTATGCGATTCCAAGCTTCTATGCTTCCATGTACTGTTTCCTCAGCCTAGAATTCCTTACCGTATTTTTATTTCTTGTAAACTCCTACTCACACTTTCAGATCCAGCCTAAATGTCCCTCTATGAAGGGTTCCTTTTCCTAGTGCCAAAGGAAAATTCATTTCTCTCTTCATGTTCTCATAGTCCTTTAGGAACATCACCATTATAATGTCAGTCACATTAAATTGTAAGCATTTTTGAATACTTCAGTTATTCCTAAGGCTGTGAGCTCCTTGAGGGCAGAAACCACATGTTACTTATTTTTGCAAACCTGGCATATAGCACATGCATTAATTGAATGGAATTATAGCACCTGGGAGTAGATTTTTCTTTATTATTAATTGACATTTTTTGAACCTGAACACATTAACAGAGAAAGAATTCTAATTAGCATGTCCGTAGTTCTTTGCTTATTTTTATTCTTCATTCTTCTCTTACTCATCTTCCCAGAAAAGCAGACCCATGCTTGCTCCCTCCCTGTAGCCATTAGCAACCTTTTCATTGCCTCCTTTAAGGATATCAGGGTTGTGGTTTCATTGTTCATCTTCTTAAGGCAAAATGAAAAAGAAAACAAGCAAAACAAAAACCCAATAGAGGTTTGAATCCAGGGTTTTCTGCTCTCTTCCACTCAGCAACAGGCAGCAGCAGTGTGAGTATTCGATCTAAATTCTGCCTGAAAGGTCACTCAGTACAAGAAGCTTTTAATAGCTTGTACATCCAAATATAGTTTCAAAGAGCTGATCCTGTGAACACAGGTGTCCTGGGATGCACTATAATATTTGCCTTTGAAAAGTGACCCATAGTTCATCAACCTAGTACAACAACCAGATGTAATTGTGGCTCTGTGTATATTCTGGTAAATGGATGTACAGGTACACAATGTATACATATACATATACTAGGATTAAATTTAATGGAAATATTACTCTCTAATTTTAAGAGCTTAATTGTTCACTTATAATCTCAATTAGGTTTAAAGAAGCCCCAGACTTTTTATGATGTATTATATCAATGCAAAAAAATCCGACCATCCTTAGAAACTTATATTTATTGTACTATTAGATTAGGTATTGGAAATAAAAACAGACGTAAAACAGGATTCCTGAATTCAAGGGGTTTAAATACTAACTGGGGAGATACTTAAAAGATAATATATACTTAAAATATACATAAAATGTGTGCTGAGGGCTTCCCTGGTGGCGCAGTGGTTGAGAGTCCGCCTGCCGATGCAGGGGACACGGAT